AACGGACAACAACTCATTCAAAGATGAATCCAACGAGCTCCTCAATTCACTCACCCACTCAATCAAAAGCAACGAACGTGACTATTATTTCTCCTATTATTTCTGAAGGAAGAAAGAGGAACGGTTGCTACATTTTTGAGACCAACAAACCAAGCAAGCATTATAAATAGAACTTGAGACCACAGTAGAAAGGGTTCTGCTTTTTGACGAGAAAAGTTCAGATATTATTTTCAGCATTATTATTTTCAGCATTATTATTTTCAGCATTATTTCTTTTCAGCATTATTTCTTTTCCCAGTTATTTCTAGCCAGCACTATTCTTTCCAGTTTTACTTTCTTTCTATACGGTTAAATATATCCTCCGATCGAAGAAAAGCCTACAACTTGTGCATGACTGTTTCTATCTTCGGAGTAATTGCCAGGTTTATGTTTACAATTTCTTATTGCTTATTAATTAATATAATTAAGTTTATTTGTATTTATTCTTTAAATTATTCTGCAATTTGGTTTAATATTATGTCAGGCTAGAAATCTTATACCGGTATGTAAGGTCAATCGACCGAGGGAACGAGTAGCTTAGTCGGGGCTATTTTTACTACGAAACTTTCTTTTCTGGCCTAAGTTACTATTTTTCAAATCATTAAATTGTTTTGTTAAAGAAGTAAAAAACAGATAGAGGTTAGGGTCAACAAAGCGGAAGTTTGAGATCTTTTAACTGGACAGTAGTAATTAGGCATTGGCTTAAAATACATTGGAAGCACTTTAAAGTTAATTAAGATTTTATTTAGTTTCCAAATAGTTTTTTTAACTCCTGCGGGATGGTCGAAGCGTACGTTAGGACTTAACTGCATAGCCTAGATCAACAAAACGACAGTGTGAGACGAGGGTTTTTAAACTAGATAGGTTTTACTGAAAACTGTTTTGAAAATATAAAGACGCCCGACAGGTCGCTAGTTCCCGAGGTAAGACTAATGCATATTGGTAATTTAGTTCATTGATTATTAAAATACAACTTAATTTAGTGATTAGTTTCCCTACAACCCAAATCAAATATTCATTAGCTTTAGATTTACATAGTAATAATAGAAAATGGTAGATCGATTCATCAGTCTCTGTGGTTCGATATCTTTTAAAACTACTCGACAAGATTGTGCACTTGCAGTCCGAATCATTGGATACATAAATACAAATCCCACGATCAAAAGGGTTGAGAAGATGTTTAAGGATAAATGTTGAAAAATGATAAGAAGTTCAAGTGAATGGCAAAATAAAGTAAATTTGCAGTAATGATAAAGTTTGTGAAGGAATGCAAATGGAAAGGAATGTAAAGGAATTGTAAAGACTTTGATTGAAATAAAAGATGGTGTTTCAAATGTACATTCTCAATATCTTTTCTCTCACAGCGGATACTCAGATAAGATAGAGTGACTTGTACTAATAAGTTGAACACACACGGGAATCTACATAAAATCCCTATATTTATACTAAAATTAAGTAACCGTCGAACAGTTGTCTCGTTCCAGGATGAGGACAATTGTCCTCTGCATGTGCTTTAACTTCTATCTCCATGCCATGTTGCTTTCCTCAACTGTCAAGTGAACTGTCTTTCCCTCCTTTCTTCAGATTCAAAATTACTTGCTGCTGATACAAAGCTTTCCGGTCGAAGTACAAAGGCTTTTCGGTCGAAGACTATTTCTAACTTAGAAAATCATCGAAGTGTTCCTTCTCCTCTTAGCAAGGTTTCGACATGACCAACTTCAATAGGTTCTTTTGTCGAAATGTCTCCAACTCAGATTTTTTCAATCTATTTTTTGGCCAATAAGACCAATATGTTGTGGGTGTCGAATTTAGAAGCTAACATGATCAAATTGATCTTTTAAAAAGTTAAGGGACTAAAATGGACCCTGAGGTAAAGATGATTGACCAAAAAGGGTATTTAGCCTACTACTAATGAATATTTGTACAAAGATTTTTCCGATGTTATGCAAAATGAATTTGAAATGTCCATGAGATGTGAGCTTTGTTATTTTATTGGTATATAAATACATCAAACAAAGGAAGAAAATTTTATAAATAAATCAAAATACTACAAATAGCTTCTCAAAAGACGCATAATGCAATATTCCAAAGATATATCAACTCCCACGAGCACTTCATGTTACCTCGACAAATATGTGGGAGGTAAGTTAGTAAAAGAAAGTAAATATAAAGGTATGATTGATTTTCTCCTTTATATTTCTTCTAGACATCCATATATCATGTTTAGTATTTGCATGTGTGCCCATTTACTAGTGAATCCCTAAGAATCACACATTTGTGTTGTCAAACAAATTATGAGGTAACTCACTGACACAATCATGGTATCCGAATGAGACAAATTGCATATTTGTTGGGTATTTTAGTTCATACTTTGCAAGACGTAAGATGGATCTGAAAAGTACCAGTGAAAATTGACACTTGCTTGATAACTCTCTAATATCTTTGACACAATAAAAAAAGAAAGTGTTGCATTATCCACTATCAAAATAGAATACAACGACACAAATTATTGATTATGATATTAATCTCAAAATTGTCCTAATTAAGTGAGACAACACTAACGTCATAAATCTCACAAAAAAAAAAAATCTAAAACAAAGTACAATTAAGTTAAAAATATTAATGGTACTAGAATAACTCGGTGAAACCAACAAATTAAACAAAAACTCAACCAAAAATAAATAGAAGAAACAAATATCATGGAACAAATACAAAGCATCTCAAAACATAGAGAACAACATCATCACCAAAAGAGAAAACAAGTCCCAAGGCCACCCATGAGAACTCTTGTCTTTCCTTGACTATGGTTTATTTCCTTTAAATTCATTGTTGTTATTTTTTAAACTATTGTATATTGGTGTGATTTTGCTTTCCTTACTTATGATATTAATTTTATACATCTTCTACTTAATGGAGCACCTTCGTAAGAAAGAGAAGTATACCCTTATAAGGAGTACCTTCGTTATATATGCAATTTGTTAATGGAAGTAAAAACTCAATTATTTTATTTGTTATTTGTTTTTAACCGCCTTTTGAGGCATCTTCAGTGAAATGTTTTGTCATCATTAAAAAAAGTGGGAGAAATGTAGTTTAATGCTTTAATAAGTAAGTTTTGATGATTGATATCAAAAGATTAGTTATTCTGAGCATCGACAAAAAATAAAACTTGATAAGAAAATCAGCCAATTTAATCCACAACTTCAAAGAATTTTATTGTACATGTTATTTAGAATCATTTTGTAAATACTAATAATTTGCTCTCTTGAAATAAAATATCATACATGTCTCGTTAAATCAATTCAGTTGATAATTATACATAAAAATTAAAAACATGAACAAATGTTTGAACTCACGATATCATGCAGATTTACCTTTAACGAGTGAAAATTCCAACCACTTGACTACTTGATAAAAAAAGAAATAAAATATCATATACAAAATATTTTTTAAACTCCCATATTTTCAAATCAACTGTAATGAATATTTTTGGAGAAGAAAATGATTTTTGACATGAATAATGAATTAATCATTCTTGAAAAATTGATTATGAGGTGCAGGTTAGCTAGAAGCAAAAAAAAATCTCCCCATAAGTGGTTATGGTTCATGACATAATCAATTATGACCATCGTTAAATTTGAGTAATCAATTACAATCTATAAATAATCAATTATGTTATGTATCAAGTCAAATATTTCCTTTTTCATCTTCAAGTATTCGATTATTATAACATAGTAAATGATTATGAGTTTCATCAGAATCATTTTCATTATTTTCATTTTCATCAGAGTGATATATATATATATATATATATATATATATATATATATATATATATATATATATATATATATATATATATATATATATATATATATATATATATATATATATCACTCTAGTTGACATAAAGCTTTTCTAACTGTCTTCTTTTCCTTTTTCACTATAAATTAAAATTTACGTATTTTATTTGATGTATAGATTTGTAAAATAAAAAAATCTGACATAATAATATAAGATAATACAAAATAAAACAAGACAATTTTTGTACAGTACTATATTTATTGATTGATGCATTAAACAATTTTTTGTCTCTGTTTTATTTGAATATTTATGTACCTGACAAAATAATATAATTTTTATTATAATATTTTTTATTAATATAAAATATTAATATTTATAAATTAAAATATTCAATAATAAAATGATATATTTTTTATCATACTCTAGATATGTTTATGCATCAGATAAAATATTATAATTTTTTTTATTAATATTTTTTATTAATATATAAAAGTATTAATTGATCTTAACTTTTATTATAGAAAAAATATGATAGAAGAGTTTACTTATCTCTATTTTGTTTAATATGTTTATTTGTGTCTTTTTTTTACATAAAAAATTATAATATTTATTATAATATTTTTTATTGATATATTTTATCCAATCTTCTTATGATTAATTACTATATCAAACAGAAAATAAAAATAAATACACCCTTTTAAATATTTTAAAAGAGCAATCAGTGTACATATATAACTCTAACTTCCACAGTCAAGAGAACTAACGATCCCTAAGAAATCCACATCTAGTAAAAGACAAAAATAATCTGGAACTTCATCATAAGACCACCTCCAACGGAAGGTTTCTCATGTTGGTTCTCCAAGTGGCAATGTTTTTTCTCTTTTCTCCAATGCTTCAGTTGGTCAACGGATTAAAGCACTCAACGGTTTTTATTTTATTTTTAATATTTTAAAATTCAAAGCAGCAGCCAAGTAGCCGTTGAACGGCTAGTTAATTTAATTTTTTAACTTATTTTTCAATTATAAATATAGTGTTTTAGGAAAAAATTTATCAACACCAATTTTCTTTCACTTTCATTTTCTCTTAAATTTCAAGTTTCTCTCTCAAAATTTCATCCAAATTTTCATCTTTTTACTTCAACTTAAAATTGTTTAGGCCAAATGGATCCTAATCATTTTCATTATCAACAAACTATGTTCAATTACATGCAAAATAATCAAAATCCTAATTCTCAAAATGCTCAAATTCCATCGGTGTCAACAAACCCCGCCATATTTTTTCCGTCACCAAACAATCCAAATATGTTTCCTAGCCCTCAAATGAATTCTAATAGTATGGAATTTTTTTGTCATGAACCAGAAATACCGATTGGATTTATCTGGTTGTCAACTTCCACCCTTTTCTACTCAAGTTGGTGCTGAAAAAGAAAAAAGGGTTGACGTTAAAAAAAATCTCGAGAGCAATTTACAAGGGATGAGGATATACTTCTTATCCAATCATGGCTCAATGTTTCAAAGGATCCAATTGTGGGAGTTGATCAAAAGGCTGAGAGTTTTTGGGTAAGAGTCGCTGCCAATTATAACCAGTACCGTGGACAATCGCGGGAAAAGGTAGGGGGACAATTAAAATGTCGATGGCATCGAATAAATGCCATGGTTCAAAAATTTGTTGGGTGTTACAAACAAGCTGTTAATGGAAAGAAAAGTGGGACATCGGAGAACGATATCATGGCCTCTGCACATGCTTTTTTTGCTCAGGATCAAGGTACAACATTCAATCTTGAGTACACATGGCGACTGTTAAAAGATGAATCTAAATGGATGGGAGAATCGATTGGAAGTTCTTCAAAAATAACAAAGACTTCCGCTAGTGGGGCATCATCGGAGAACCCAGATACACATTCAAGTTATGAGTTTGACTCATCATCACCAATGGAGCGTCCAATGGGACAAAAAGCAGCAAAAAGGAAGGGTAAGACAAATAATATTCCAACTACAACGGAAGATGCAAGGAATAAAAGAACAACGACAATGAAAAGACTAGTGCAATGTAAGGAGGACGAGATAGAAGTAAAGGTAATGCCAATCATGATGAAAGACACTTGTACTATGAGCGATAGTCAACGAGATATTCATGAAAAATATTGTAATAAGATGAAAAAAAATATGGAATGTAGTTAGTATCACTTATGTAAAATGGTCATTAGTACTACTTTAATTTATAAACACCTATGTAAAATGGTCATTAGTACCACTTTAAATTATAATAAATATTATGTTATTCAAACTAGCCGTTATTCAAACTAGCCGTTATTCAAACTAGCAGTTATTCAAACCATTATATATACTACCACTTATGTCATTGTTTTCTCATTCTCATCTTATTCTTTTCTCATTTTTCTCTCATTCTTTACTCACTAAAATGGATTCAGACAATTCAGAGAATTACGATCAAGAATTTTGGGATTTGATTGAAGAAGAATTTATGGACGACAGTGATGAAGAACAACAGCTTCAGAATGAACGTCAATCTGGAAGTTCCTCTCGACCAAAGAGAAGAACAACGATAGATCGAGGTCGTGAAGAAGAGCACAATCGATTATTCAATGACTACTTCTCGGAAAATCCAGTATACACAGATGTTCAATTTCGAAGAAGGTTCAGAATGCATAGGTGTTGTACCCCAAAATTTGTTCTCCCATATTTCTCAAAACATTGCAAGGAAAATCTCCAAGTTGCTCAAGTTTGCTCAAGGATTGACCAGACAAGCTCTCTCCTCGGACAATCTACCCCAAATTAGGGTTTTACATTTCATCAAGATCCTTGAGTCCAAATGACCTCAAGGGCTCCACAATGTCCTAATATGTTCTCAAGATCATCCATGTCAAATTTTAAGCCTTGCAGAGGAAGTTTGCTCAGTCAATTGATCAAAGGTCCAAAAATCGACTATGCTAGGCAAAAGTCAACTGTGACCTACAAACAGTAAAACTTTAATATTTTTTGTCAAAATTCTCATTTTGAAGGATATTTCATTATTTGATCAAGGGTTGATCATGATTCATCAAGGATTGCTCAAAATTCATCAAGATTCAAAAGTTGTTAAATTAGGATTTTGTAGGAAAAGTCAATTCAACTTTGACCAAGCATAACTTTCTCATACTTTATGAGAAATGACCCATCCAAATATCATTTTTAAGAGGATGCAATTCCCTACAATCCATGTTCATACCCCAATATCAAAAAATTCACTCACAAGAAGTTATGAATTTTGACATTATAGGTCATTTTTGAAAGTCAACAAAAACACCTTTTTTGCCAAAGCTCCTAACTTGAGAATGGAATATCAAAATGAGATGAGACCAAAAGGGTTGGTTAGAGGACATCTCAAGCTTTCTAAAAAGTCCAAGAAAACTTCCAAAAGTTCAAAATTGAAGAAGTTGTGCATTGTTGAAGTTGGACCTTTTTGCAAAATTGCCAAAAGTCAACTATCCCCAAAACTTCAAATTTTGCCAAATGGGCCCATTCTTTTTCACTTGATTTGAGTTTGCATTATTTCCCACGTGCTCTGGCTTTGGCCATGTGTCCATATCTTATTTTTATTATTTAATTTAATTTTTATTTGAATTAATTCATTTTAAATAAAATAAAATCACATAAAATCCAAAGGCATTGATAACAAAGATTTTGTGGTGATTTCAGGTTCCATTATGCAGCTGGCCATCATCAAATTCGTATCAAGTGAATCATGTGCAAAAAAGATTTAAATTAAGCCAATTTGGAAATTTTGTAAAGGCAAATCAAATCAAATATCAAAGCCTTAATGGAGAGAGATTTGGACAAAGTTTGTGACCCTAATCCAATGCACAATACATAAGCAAGCAAGAGGAACAAAAATAAAGGTTGGCAATCACTTGTAGAAGCAGAACAAAACTTGCAAAAATCACAAAAAAGTGGGAGATCAAAATCAAGGTTAGAGACATTTGCAGGGCTTGAGACTTGTCCCAATCGATTGCTGGCCATCTCCAGAAGCTAAACCAATCACAACCAGGCGTTTTCAAGCTTCCATACGCACTGTAAGTCTCACACAAGTTACCCCTATTCTTGATTTCATATCTCAGAAATTAGACGTTGTTTTCATGAAATAACTGCATATTCTTAACCCTCACATCATTTGCAAGATTTTCATAATAATCAATTGCATTTATCTGGCTTGTATAGAAAACCGCCATTGTTAGGGTTTGGTTCGCGTTTTTGGGAGTTTTTGTTTCAGGTGAAATTGAGATACATGAAGGACATGGTTGTGATCAGGAGGTTATGACGAGTTCCATGTTCTTGGAATGTGTTTACATGGCCTGAGGACGATTTTAGGAGGAAGCCATGCTTTTAGCTGCGGATAAAAATCCGCAGGTAATTTTTACAGGTTTTTGAGGAAGAGGATGATGCGTTGTCACCCTCCTGTTGGTTTGTTTGAAAATCGCGCCAAAATTCCATTAATACGCTTGTTTTCTTATATTATTGCTATTGTGTATTATTATTAACAAACAACAACACGCCCCAGCGGTTGCCACATAAGCCTTAAAGCATTCCAAGGCTGGAGGACAGGGGTTCGATCCCTGCCTCCAGCAATTTGCCTTTTCTTGTTACTTTTCAGGTAATCACGTGCACGCTCAGGCTTGACCCACACCATACTCCCTCACTATCCAAACGCCAGATGGCCAAATTTGGTGGTCAATGTTGGAAGTCTACCACAAGCCAGGTCAATGCACGCACACTGGATCAGGAAAAGTCAATTGGGTCAGCATTATTGGGCCAAGGAAATTGCTACCTACACCCTCCAATCAGGCCCAATTCTTCTACTTTCTTTTTATTTTGTTTATTTAATTTAATTGTTTTATTTTATTTAACTAATTTTCTAACCAATAACAAAATTCCTTTTTATCAAATAAAATCACAAAAATACTTTTTTTATCTAATCAAATTTTAAAACTTTTATTTTCATTAATAAACTTATCAATTAATTAGGATATTAATTAGGAAACTTTAATTTATTTTGTAAATATTTAAAATTAATTAGATATCATTAGGTTTTAATTTATTTAATTATTTTTATTTTCTTTCTTAAAATAATAAAAAAAAACCAAAAATATGTCATAAAATTATTTTTCTTTAATTAACTTATTGATTTAATTTAGTTATTTAATTCAGAATTTAATTTCTTTCCTTAAATAAAAACAACAATAAAAAAAACATTTTCTTTAACCAAAAGGGTCAAAACCCTAATTCGCATTCGATTTAATTTCCCTCGCACTTTATTTTTCTTTATCCAATTGATGTATCTGCTTCCGGTATGTAATAATTAATTAGGATATTTATTTATTTTTACCGCTTTATTTTATTTTCAAAGGGTTTCTTTTGGCGATGTAAATACCCGACCCCTTGTAATTTAATTTCCGCACCTTTAATTTCTGCAAATTATAACTGCTAGATGTTTGATAATAGGGTTTGCATGACAAGACTAAATGCTTAATCTTAAAATCAAATTTGATCACCCCTAACATGTACAAAGATAAAAATAACTGAAAACGACACACTCGCACATGCGCACTCTTAGGGTACACCCCACTTGGTTGCCTTTGTATACGGTCATTGAGTATAGGTCATTTTAGAGGTCATCCTCTTGTCTAAAGATCATAGTTGCCTCGAAACGGTTGCCTCAGATATTATTGCCTCAAACAAATGAACTAAGACATTAGGGTTACCGCTAAGACATCCTAACATTGCTTTAGTGATCGTAAGTCCCTCATTCGAATTGACCCTAAAACTCCAACGACGATGCTACCTACTCATCAATAGTGGGATAGCATTGTCTAAAGGAAATTAGCATAGAACGATTCCTTTTTCGAGTAGGTAGATAGTTCTTAGATACTTGCTCTTTCAAAAAACAAAACCCTTTTCACACTTACACTCCTTTTTCGGACAAAGTTTTCAAAACACTTCATTACACTCTTGAGGATAGAAGCAAGAGTTAAATCAAAGTTTTAAAACAAAAACTTTTTCAAACCCACAAGCACAAAGAAAACAATTTTGAAAACAATTGAGCAAGTACCTAAGAGCCCGTGGATAACCACGGATAAAAAGGGTGCTAATACCTTCCCTTTCTATAATCTACCCCCCGTACTCAGAGATCATCTCGAAAAAGGAATTTTTCTGTGCTTTTTTCCTTTCCTTGTTGGATAAAATAAAAGTCGGTGGCGACTCTTGCTTACCGCGACATTTTGCAAACACAAACGCAAAACACGAACCAGCATTCCAAAAACAGTCAGTTCTTCCCACCGTATCACAGAACTGGCGACTCTGCTGGGGAACATCTATAAGTGGGGTGTACCTTAGGAATAGTTCATAATGTTTTTAATTGCTTGATTTGTATGCTTTATCTTTGTGGGTTTGAATCGGAGTTACTATAGATCCTAACCCGGATCTGGGGGATACCTTTTAGGTAAGTAGCAACAGACTGTGAGGGAACTGTACGACGTAGACCGATACGGTTGAAGTAGTAGCTACGTTGGTGTGGCACTTTAGTTTGTACCGATATCCCTTGTGGTGGAACAAGGAGAATATGGGTCTTCTAAGGGGTTATTAAGCACCAACTGAACTTAGAACCTATAATTGACCAACTCGGCCATAGAACAGTAGCAGTATGCTACACTCATTGAGACCAAACTCTCGCGATGATTCCGACCACAAGAAAAGGTTGCCAAACTGGAATTATGACCGATCGAGGGTGGTCAGTGATATTGAGATCCTCTAGAACCCGGTTACTATTACTAGGACAGGTTGAACCAACTGAACTGAAAGAGGATAGTACCTAAACTCCTTACCAGCCTGAAATCTAAGGGCTTTCTGTGTGACTTGTTTGCCCTTACCATGTTTGCTATCTGTGAATACTTGTGGTGTGTTTCTATCATAATATCATGCATCATGACATTGCATGCATCTTGCATCAAGACTAACCTATTTCAAAGACATAAGGGATTCATCTTTGTTCTATTTTGTAGGTCATGGCACCCATACATAGAAACACTATTTGGATCAGCTTTGTCAAGATTCCTACTCAGCTTAGAGATTTGGTTGCAAAGGTCCCAGATACTACCTCCTTTATCAAAAGACATGGGCACCTCCTTGATTTGGTCACTTCCAAATTAGACGAGCAGATGATGAGTGTTCTGTGCCAGTTCTTTGATCCATTATACCACTGCTTCACTTTCCCGGACTATAAGTTAGTCCCTACTCTGGAGGAGTTCTCTGATCTACTTGGTATCTCTATTTTAAAGCAGACCCCGTTTACAGGTTGGGAGAAAGTCATTAGGCCGGAAGAGATTGCTTCAGCCCTCCATCTGACAAAGGCTGAGGTAATGTCAAACTGGGTGACTCGAAGTGGGACAAAAGGTTTATTGGCTAAATTCTTGGTTGATCGGGAAAATCAGTTTTGGGACAGTCTAGACTTTCAGGCATTTGAAGACATTCTGGCTCTTCTCATTTATGGTTTGGTGTTGTTTCCTAACTCAGATTCCTTTGTTGACGTGAACGCGGTGAAGATCTTCATTTCCTGTAACCATGTACCCACTCTCTTGGGTGACATTTTGCACTCTATATATGCTCGTATTGCTAGGAAACGGGGAACCCTTATGTGTTGTGCACCATTGCTGGAGAGGTGGTTTATTTCTCACCTCCCCAAATCAGTTTTGAAGAACAAGGAAGGCATGGGTTGGGCCTACAGGATTATGTCTCTCTCTCATAATGACATCATCTGGAGTACTAAGGACATGGAAGAAGTGGCTATTATTGATCGCTGTGGGGAGTATCCCAATGTTCCACTACTTGGAGTTCGAGGAGGGATTACCTATAACCCTTGTTTGGCCTTACGTCAATTTGGGCGAGCTAGGAGGGAAGGACCTCATGAGTTGCTGATTCCAAGCATTGTCTTTGACTTCTAAGGGGATAGTGGCGAGCATCGCCGCAGGTTCATACGAGCTTGGGATAGGGTGCACCGGTCTGATCCACATGAATTAGGGATGAAGACCTCTCTTCTGATGGAACTGTATCTCCGATGGGTTCGTATCCGGGCCCAAAAGCTGGGAATACCGTACGAAGTTGTCTTGCCTGTGATTATTGAGATTGCTGATGAAGAAGGAGTTCCTCCTACCATCCTCCACCCATGCATGCCTACTGACATTGGGGCATTAAAGAGGTCTTGGATGCAGCTGAGAGAAGAGTGGGATACTTACAGAGAAAAGTATCACGAACAAGCGCGGAAGATCCTGAAGTTGACAAGGCAATTGGAGAATGAGTAGATCCTCAACGACTATGTCAGCACCAAAGGGAAACGGACATGGGAGCGCTGATGTTTATGTATTTCTAGTTTTGATTTACTTTTCAGTATTTCCTTTTGTAACGCCTTAAGGGCATTTGTCAAACATTGTTTCAAGTTTTTAATCTAATAAAAGTGTGTTTCATTTTGGTTTATGAATTTGAATCCCTAAAGTCTTTGAAATCATATCATACACATTTCATCCCATGCACCTCATCACAGGTACCCTTACAGGTCTCTTATCTTATTCGCTGTTTATTTCAACATCATGTATGCTGAAACATCAACTGATCAAGCTATCAAGGCTCTACAAGCTCAAAACGCTCAGTTCTAGGAAATGTTCATGAACTTGGCTAAGGGTCAGCAAGATCTGA